ACAGCAAAGAAAGTTTGTGAGTATTTGCAACTCTGCGTGACTCAGACAGTAATATGGTGGCCCAGTGATTCTCCATGTGGCTTCAGCCTTGATCCCACTGAAAGGTCAAAGCTTCTTTTCAACTACCTAATAACGCTATACTCTCTTTCTCTACCTGTCCATTGCACACGTTTACTTGCTTTCTGTGTCAAAGTATGTGTGTTTATGCAGCTTTACTGAATGTGTGTGTGTGTGTGTGTGTGTGTGTGTGCATATTGTGTTTCCACTCGGCGCTAGCAGCGGTACTGCCCATTCTTCCATGCTCCAGCCAGCACAGAGCCTGTGTTGTGACAGAAGACTCGGGCCAACATGGATAGACTAAATGCCAACTAGCCTGCTGTCTATGGGTGTGTGCATGTTTGTGTGAACGTGCCTGCCACTGTCAAAAACACCAATTCTAGAGCACTTGTTTTACTGGTTTTTTTTCTAAATCAACAGTGCTGGAATAACAGATTACACATTCTTCTATTGGCTCCCATAGCCAGTGACAGTTGGGGTGATAACTGCCAATGCTGTGAAAGGTTTTGTGTAGATTTGGAGATTCATATACTCCATTACTCCATTGACAAATGCAGTGATTACTGACAATGGCACAAGAGGTTATTGCCAGTTACTGTGAACAAGTCAAAAGCTGGAAAATGTGCTGAACAGAGGATCTTTTGCAATGCTCTTTAGTCAACCGCTTCACCGAAGCCAAAAAACAACTAAAATAAGAAAGAAACAATCCAACAGCTTCATCATCTTCATCACTTATGTCACAATATTCCCATCAACATTAACAAAATCAACATCAATATTATCATCACATCCCCAAATACTTTCCACTTACCTGTTTGTGTCCTGAAGAGAGTAAAGTATCCACCGAGAGGATTTGATTTGAACTAAGCTGAGCCAAATAATATGCTAACGTATCATTGGTTGGGTTTCTGAACCAAGTCCATCCCATCAGTAGAGGCTACTCAAAGTTAAACCCCGCAAGCTCACTGCCCCACTGCCTCAGTGGTTAGTGTGCCAGGTCATTGGTCAGCTGGTTGATACAGGTGACCCCCATGTAATGGAGGTCTAACAGGGAAAGGAGGTTGTTTACAGAAAGGGGTGACAGGTTGATGAAGTGTTGTTGAGTGAAAACCATCAGTGAAGCCAGTCTAAGTGGCTGTAGATTAATGGAAATGTTGCTGTATGTGCTCTTTGTGGAATTGGAAAGGGGTAGATTGACAGAGGGCGCTTCACCTGTATTTGCTCGTTAAGTACGCACTGCAGACTTTATAATGCGTTGGCCGAAGGTCTTGCCAGTCCATTATATGGAAAACAAGTTGGCTGGCATTAACTATTCTGTGGTAACTGATTCATTCAAATAGCCCTAGAGTTAATAAGTAAATACATGCTAAGTTAATAACAGATTCACAGGCTTGAGTTAAAGTACAGAAATAAAACAAGGAGAGTCTAAAGAATACTAAAAGGAGAGAGGAAATGTTTCTGCGTGTTGTGAAACAAAAAAACAAAGGGATGTTATGTCCGGATGCAGATGAGAAGACAAAATTTAAAAAAAGAAGAGAAGGAATGAGCTATACAGGATACAGGGTGTCGGCTATAAAGAAATATAGGTGGCTTTTGCTGTATTTGCCTGCTATTCAAAGCAGAATATTTATTATGCGCCTTTTCTTTAATCCTGAAACTCGTTTTCTCTGCTTTACTTTTGCTCTGTCTTTTCAGTTTCAACCCATCATTCATTCTCTCCCCTCTTCATTCTTCCCTACTGTTCCTCTTGTTCTCACACACTTGAAGTGTGAAAGTGTGTTTTTGGACATATTTTAGCATGTGTGTATACTTGAAAGTGCGTCCCCCTGTGTGCGTCACTGTGCATGTGCATCTATGTAAATGCAAAAAAACTGTGCACATGCTACCTGTGAGTGAAGAGCAAGCCATTTGGTTTGTATGTGTGCCTGCATGATACCTTGCAGGCCTCCTTGCATCCTTGTGTTTGTATGAAAGCAAAGTTAAAGTCGCACGCACGGCCGATGACCTAAAGACACACACTGCTGTGTTTAGCTGAGCCTCACAGCTGAGAGGACAGACCCCAGCTGACTCACTACACACACGAAACAACACAATGCTTCATCACGCACTGGCGTGTGTGGTGCAGAGAGGATGGCAGGAAGGAAGGAAAATATAAAGGACAACAAGAAAGAAGTAGGAATGAGGGAAGGAGAAGGGGAAAAGAAAGAGTGAATAAAAAGTGCAGTGTGTGGTCATTTCAGTTAAAAAAGCTGAAACATAGAAAAGACATAAATTGTGTGGTTGAGAGAGAGAGAGAGAGAGAGAGAGAGAGAGAGAGAGAGAGCTGAAGCTCTTGTTTGCACCCTGTGCAGGTAACATGTTCTGCCCTCTAGTCCATTAACTGGTCTGTTGGATGCATCCAAATTCAAAAGCATATGAGTGCATCTACCTCATTAAGTGCATCTCTCTCTCTCTCTCTCTCTCTCTCTCTCTCTCTCTCTCTCTCTCTCTTTTCCCTCACCCAAATTTCATTTCTCGTTCTCGCTGTCTTCATTTTGCTTTTTGCTTTTCCCTTCATCTGTCTTATTCTTCCTCATCTTCGTGTTTCGCTTCTCATCACTTCCCCTTTTGTTTGAGTGGGAATTGCAATTTACAATCAATCACCATTCTTTTCTGTTTCTACTTTGTCCTGTGTTCGCTGTTTAGTTTCTTTCCTGGAAAGGTAGAATGCTCTTCTGTTAACTACAACCTGTCCTGCTCATCCGAAAACAATACAGTATGTTCAGTTTATCTAGCTTAAAGTAACATTTTCCTACGCGTACTTTCCCTTTCTTTTGTCGTATCACTGTAGAAAAACATGGACATATCATCTGTGCTGTCTCCCATTGGCTTTTGACAGGGCTTTTTGGAGCCAGGAGTTTGGGTTTACCGCTAGCTGCCTGCTGCCATCTTGTCAGTTGTTAAGAGCCCGAAAAGCCAAATTTTGGCAACTCGGTGGAGTCTGGATGGAGCCGATATTGGTCAAACAGGCGGCAATCAAAATTAAATAGAATTCAGACCTGTCAATCAAGCACACAGGTGTGGCGGAATGAGGGGTCACTGAAAGGTTTGATGAGAATAAAAACTGAATTATATGCTACAACACAGTTATCAGAACTCAACACAAATTGTCAATTGGAGATTTTAGAGCTACTTCCAAATTTCACTTCGATAATCTGTCAGGAATATATAACCTTTTGTTATCTTAATTTGTCTCCCATGTGTACATTAATAGAAGTACATTTCCTTGGTTCTGCACTTCTCAAGAGAATCCGGTGGTCTTTCCATCTGGCCTTCTGTTCAAACTGCATCTACAGAGACACTCAGCCATGGTGGTTACTACTTGTTCCCTCCCTGCTTACAACCCCTCTTTTCTCACTCTCTCTCTCTCTCACTCTCTGTCTCTCTCTCTCTCCCTCTCTCTATGTGGTATAGCTTGGGCTAATTGTTACATCGCTCTAGAACTGAAGTCACCCTGTGTAGGAAGCGTGGTTGATCGCCGCTGGGTCCAACGCGGCATGGGGGATGGGGAATTGAACAAGCATTGGCCGTCAGAGCTGGTTAGCTTCAAAGAGCTCCTGTCACAACTACACTCACGGTACAACCTGTTTACTACCCAGGCCCCCTGCAATTACCAGCTCCCCAGCAGGGGCCAAGCTAGCGCCTGGGGAGAACTAACTCTATCAGCAGAAAGGGAGGAGGGAGAAGGAGGGAGGGGGGGGCCCCATTAAGAGGCCGAGGCAGGGTGGTGGTGTAAGTGACAAATCCTAGAGGGACAAGCATGGAGCAATCATGCGTGTCTGTATATGTGTGTATGCTAAAGATGCTAAAGCAGGTGTGGCAGACCATGGTTTTGAACAAAGCAGAGTAGAAGAAGAGATGAATTTAGCAAAAGGGTGTTTAGGGTTATAGGGCCCTTGGAAAATCAGCTTTTTTCTATTAGTCTATAAACCCACCATTAAAATGATTGAATCAATGAAGGAAGGAACTATCTATGCAATAAACCGCTGTAACGGATATGGAAGGTTTTAGGGTGCTGGAAATTAAATTAAACTGTATACAAGTATTGATGTGTTGGGTATATAGTTGCAAGTGCATCAACCTGTCGCCATGACCTGGCCCCTGACTCACAGGGACAGTGGGGCAGTGAAACAAGCAGCAGCACGGGGCCCCTACAACACCACACTACTTCTCAACTGTCTGCCTGTATGACAAACATTATCATTAGACCCTTTGTAGAGCCCCAGACTGCAGGGACAGTTCAAAGGATGTGTAACAAGGTGTGAAAAGAAAAGGCAATCTCTTAATTATCAGCAGATTAGTAATTAATATGCTAATTGTGGCAGGCATCAAATCTGAGGATGTGACAGAGCTAAACAGCAAGAAATATTGAGGATCAGTCTAAACAGCTACTAACCTCATTTTGTGGGGGGTTTTTTCCTCACTTTTATTACCAGAGTACTGGGGCGTGGGTTAGTTGAGAAATAGTGGGTTAGGGAGCCCGTACCACCTGGACCAACTGTTATAAAACTCTTAATATGTCCCACAGACTTCACTTTTTATCCAGGAGTATCTGACGAAACTCTTATTGGTGGAGAACACGCGGCTGCATTATCCATACAATATACCAAGGTCAAAAAATGTAGATGTTCATTTTGAAAGTGTTGCACCATATTATCTATACCCTGCAATACTCCTAGCATGCTTTTCATCCTTTCCACCATAAGTCATCAGATACTCCTGGAAGCCATTCCCACTTGAAATCTCATCATCCATCCCATCTGTCTTTCATCTTTCCTCTTCCAATCTCTCCCCATCTTGGTCTTCTCTAACAGTGGGAATAGCTGTAGTGATAGTAAGCTGTGGTCCAGAAGTGGAAGGAGTTTTTTGTATTTTTTTTTCCGTCTTTCTCCCTGCCCACTTACACTGCACATCTACGCGGATGGACTTGATGGCAGCCACCCCCACCCCGTTGTCGGCCTTGCAGTAGTAGCGACCCCCCTGAAACCTCTGGATGTACTCGATGCGCAGCGTCTCGTTGAAGAGTGATGTTTCCTGGAACTTGTCTGATGCACTGCCAGCCGTCTTCGTCCACCGTACCTGAAGAGAGGGGCGAAGGAGAGAAAATGTTGAATTGACGAAGATGCTGTCAGTGAAAGCAAGGTGTAGCAAGGACAGAATCAGTCAAAGTGTAATGTAAGAAAGTTAAAACGGGGACAGAGAGAAAGACTAGCAAGGCAGGCTTTGACATTTGATGTCCAAAAAACTTTCCAGATACAGTATAAACAAAAATGTTAAAAAGCACGCATTCAAACATCTCCCTACCCAAACAAATATTCATGTTTATGCACAAACCGATGAAAGTAAAATGTAATAGTAACATTCTGCTCTCGTTTCCAACAAAGAAAAGCTAGTGACACGTAATTCTTCAATAGACAATTTGTAATCTTCGCTGATGATTAAAAGCAGTGTCATCACACTCTCTGGTGGAAAATGTTAAGTCTATTTCTCTTTTGCATCTGTAACCAAATCCAACAGTGATGTCACAGTGTACTGAGACATCACAGCAGCAAGTTGAGAAACTAAAGCCAACTGTTTTCCCTAGAAAGACGACAGCATCAGTCATTTTCATCATATTTTTATGGTCAGCTATGGCTGTAGGAGTTATGACTCTCATTCATTGGGAATTTATTGTGACTGTGATATAGAGCTACATTGTCCTCATAGGGAGGTTGGGGTGGTTGTATGGGCTGACTTTGACAGAATAATCATGTTTGTTTCCCATCCCCTACCCTTTTCATTGCTTGTTTCTTCAAACCATGACCACGACTGTTCAACAAAAGTCTTCTAATCTTAACAAAGCTTTCATTTTAGTCCAAACCACAATGTTTCCTCAACAATAACCAAGCAGTTATTTTAATCCAAACTGTGATCTTTCCTTGTTTTTGAGCCTAGACCCAACCAAACCATTTTCACATCATAAAGAAGTTATATTGTTGCAGCTGTGGCAAACAGATTACATCATCCTTGTGCTCATAGTGTCACCTGAAACGTGGTTGAAAGGTATGTATACATAAAGCAAATTCAGTGACCTAGAAAAATGGATGAAAATTATAAATGCATTTATGACTTTTTTTCTCAGTGATAAAATCTCTGTCTGCTCCATTGAATGGAAGTTAATGACACTAAGTGCTGTACTCATGGTGTCCATGATGCTAAACTAAGACCATTAAGAGTTTTGACAAACTCTATATGGCTTTTGCACGCCTCAATTATCCCATCAAGCCATGGGAATGCTGCACGGCCAACAGCAACATGATACAATCACTCGATTAATCAAGTGCACAAACATACTCACACACACACACACACACACACACGCTTCAGAGATACATGAAAGCCTGTGAAGTCATCAGCTCTGAAATGTTATTCTCACTGTGTGTGTGTGTGTGTGTGTGTGTGTGTGTGTGTGTGTGTACAGTCCATTAATCCCTATTAACCCTTCTGTCTGTTATCAACCTCGACGAGACTATCAACCATGTCCTGTGGAGGTCAGGGAGGATAATGGACAAAAGCCACTGATACAGCGTGTGTGTGTGTGATTGTTTGTGTATGTGTATGCAAATGTGTGTGTGTAGAAGTGTGTGTGTCCTGCTTTAATGCACAGTTGTCTGCTTGTGTTCCTGAATATGTACTCCGTAGCGGCGTACATATTCACTCCTGCGTGCATGCGTGTGAGTGCACGTGAGAGTGAGTGTGTTGGTTAGAAAGCAGGTTATATGGATTAGCAGATTATCAGAGCCTGTGTAAACGCTCCCTGCCTGTTTATTCAGCTCTGTTTGTGGGAAGGATTTGGAGGAGGCAGACTGCCATTGATCAAACCAGCCAAGGTGAGCAATGGACCGAACCCTGTCTCTCCATGGTTTAGTGACTCCAGTTTTCATGCATGTGTGTGTATGTGTGTGTGTTTGTGCATGTGGGTGTGTGGAGCTTTGTGAGAGACAGAAAAGGAGAGAGTGAAAGTGAGCGTGAAGTGTGTATCTGTGTTTTTCCTGCTTTTATCCATTCAAGGATTAAAAGATGAGCAGATCAAATAACAGACGTTTTCTTTGCACTCGCTTTGAAGAGTAATTCTTAGGATTAGAGTTCAGGAACATTAAGCTTTGTTTCAAGTTTAGAATAATTTTAATGGCAAGATTACGTGAAAGGGGCTTTGTGACAGTAAAATAAAATAATAATATGTTTCAGCTAAAATCAGTTACTGTATGCTTACTGTCGTGTGTGCGTAATGAAACTTTGTGTGTGTTTGTGTAAAGAGAAAGCATTGAGCATGAAATCAGGATGATGTATTGCACTCAAAAGATTACAGAAAGTCAACAGAAGTGGAACTAACTTATGAGCTAACAATAATACTGCTAAGAGTATTGTTATATTGAGACATCCTGGGGTAAAACGCATAAGTAAAATATGTAAGGAAACAGAGAGACAGGAAGAAAAACAGCTGGAGTCAGTGAGGAATATGGTAGGTAAGGAGAGGGTGAGAAAAAGATGTGTAAGTGAGTTTCTTTTTTTGTTTGAGAGTGAGAATGAGAGGGAATGATATATACAGTATCGCTGGCAGCTGTGTGATGGGGAGAGAAATAGTGCATCACACTCAGAGTTGCTACACCGGGGAGGCAGATGAAGCAAAATAGAGAGAGGTGATATTGTGAACAAAGGGGACATTGTGTGCGATGCAGATGACAGGCAGGCGGCAGAGGAGCCTATATCTGCCTGTGACACAAGCAGCTTAAAACCATCACCTGCGCTCTCTTTCTCTGACCTCGTTCGCTCTCCCTCCACACCTCTTTCTTCTCTCTTCCCTCAATAGACGTGTGACGCTGTTCTATTTTTTCCACTCAGGTCCTGGCGGATCGGTCTGGATCTCTCTCCCAGTCCTTTTCTTTCTCCCTCATCTTATCCCTGTCTGGGCGCCTTTCTCCTCCCATCTTTTATATATTTATGTGAAAGCCTAACACTGACTTGCCATCAGATCTTGTGTCTAAATACACATTCGTTTACACACTTTTTACCCCCACGCAGATTCACACACATGCTGGGAAATGAAGATGCATTTGTTGAGTCAGAGCCTTTTGTAACAATAGCTCTTACATTTGGTTAGAAGTGTAATGTGAAGGGAAGGTTTGGAATCCCCTGGGATCCAGCTCGACATGAAATGCAGCAGGTTTTGTTCGTCGTTTCTGTATTCAGCTGGGGGAGCTGTATGCTGTCTAAGACACAGATGTTTCAACAGGAGAACAGAAACAGTGTGGAGAACAGTGTTGTCAGAGAATTGGGAGGAGACAGTTGGGAAGTAATTTATGTTTGTGGTTTTATGGGAGGATAGGCGGATGAAGCTATTAGGCACTAACCAAACTGTGGTAATTGAAGAGTGCACTAAAATACTGACCAGAGCCAAGTGGGCTAGTAAATGTTCCATTAGTGGCCACATGTTGTATGATCGTCATTCGCAATAACTCCCCTTAATGTAATGTTTGTTTCCAACCAATGCATTGCAGTTTCTGCATCGTTAAAACCCATTAATGGTAATAACTTGTCCTTGAATCTATCACGCTCCCTTGTTTACAATGATATGAAATGAGCCAAGCGAAGATGTTTGTGCTGTTTCATGCAAATAAAGTCTAAATTTCGTGCCCCCTATTATTCTTTTTAAAGTGCATTTTGAGATTACCTGGTTGCCGTGTCTTTGAAATTTCAATGATCAAACCCAGAAAGTGAAGTCAATATTGTTGGGTGAGCTCTTTCCATTTAAGGCTTGAAGCGCATTCAGCAGCGGTCCTCTAGCAGCGTTCACACTGAAGCAGAGATGTTTTTGACGAGTTGTTGTGAAGTGTATTGTGGACTTAATCAGATAAACTGACTTTATTGGCATTGTCAACCATGTCGCGACCTGACAAGCAAGTAAACAATTTCTTAGCAGTTGCTCACAGCATCTCAAGCCACAGTAAATCTGCTGCACTCCATAATACGGATGAGTATTTTAACAATACACCCAGGTGGCCAGTTTATTAGTCACATACACCTTGCTAAATCCACTGCAATCCAATACAACAGCCCTGCAATAAAACCTAACTTTATAAAGCTTATAATGTTCAGTTTTCGTTGGGACAGCTGACAAAATATTAGATACTCCTTTCAATGCTTGGCCAACAAAATGATAGAGTTGAGTCAACACCTCTCTGCCACATTGTCAACAAAAAGAAACATTATGAGCTTTCTAAAGGTGGGATTTATTGCAGAGCTCTTGTATTGGACTGCATTGGATTTCGGTGTGGGTACGTAATAAACCGGCAATGGATTCCAGCCTCAAATCAGTAAATCTGTGTTGACTTGTAGGTAAAGAAAGAAGGAGAGCTAATGAGGCAGGATGAATATGGATCACAAACAGTGAAGGGAGAGAGGAGAAAGAGTGAAAGGTGTGCTCTTCTTTAAGGTGGTGAGGGAGGACAGGGCTAATGTGTGTCAACCATACTGACAGGTCAGTGGCCTGCAGCTGCCGATCCAAACACCTCTCTCCCTCCTCTCACTCTCTGTCTATGTGTGTGTTTGTGTGCGTGTGTGTGGTCTCAGTCTCATACCTTTCTTCTGATCTCACTCTCTCTGTGTTTCCCTCCATCCATTCTGTCTCTACAAGTCTGAAGTTGGTCTTATTGTCTTATTTAACATTTCTTATATATCTTGCACCCCCCCACCCGTTCCCCCTTCTCATCTGTCTCTGAGCCTCTAACTTCTCTCCCCAGAGTGACACATCTCAACAGGATCCAGCGGACATGGTCCGATGGCTGTCGGACCCTTTTGCCCCGCTGTCTTAACTGGAAACTGTCAATGCTACACAACAATACAGGAGGAACCTTAATACTGTGTTAGCATTTAGCTTAGAAAAAGAGGGTTGAGATTGCTGTTCACACCTTGCTGTTCATGTTAATGTGTTATCAATATTCAGCACAGTCACCTGTCGATTGCATCACACCTCCACATTTACATTTCTGCCTGAGCAATTAAGAGACTGCAATCCACCTGGATAGCAAATAATATCCACA